TCCACTGTTTCCACTGTCCCAGGTTTCGGAGGAGGAAAGTACATCTCATTCGAGGATCGTCAGTGGCATCAGCCATGTTTCACCTGCTCCCAGTGCGCTGTGTCTCTGGTGGGCGCCGGCTTCTTCCCTGACGGCGAGAGGATCCTGTGCCGTGAATGCCACACCAACCTATAGAGCAGTCGTCCACAATATGCTCCCCTTTCTTCCTTTGTCACAGCATTTCATGAACCCAGAGTCATTACCGAGGAAGGTAACACAGGCTAACTAATGCTGCCTCTCAGGTTGTTTTTATACGAAGACATCAGTTCCTTATCGTCTGGATCAGATTTTCAACCAGGAGCTAGTGTGTGAAACCCTGTGTTGATGCTGCATTGAACACCACAGATTTCCTCTTTAACCAAAAAGTTCATTATTTTGTGTGACCAACTTTATGCTGTGCCTTAAAAATAACATGTCTCATATGTTAGGATTTTTAAAACCAAAGAAAAATTCAAAGTGCTAGTCACTTTGCAAAAAAAAACAATCCCTTCATATTTTATGTAAATGGTTTACCACTTCAGGTAGAGGTCAGGCTCTGAAGAGAAGACACAGAACTCTGATCCAGAACCGAATTAAAACCTTACAGTCTGTATTTTCAAACTATGTTGTAGTTACTGTTTTAATGCTCTTATAACTGCAGTTTTATGCATTTTGAATGTTGCTTTTTATCCTTTGAGAAATGTGCGTCTGGCTTTGTGTGTCTTGAACGAGTTACTGTAGATAATGACATAGGAGGTGTGACACTGTTGTTAGACCAATTTAAAAATGTGTCAGAAAGTAAAAACAGTGAGACGGTTGTGATCAATAGAGTCATTTGCACTTTGGATTAGATATTCTCTTACCAACATGTTATGTGCACATAAAAAACACAATTCAAGGACATGGAACGAGACACACTAACCCCCTTTAATGTTATGTATCTGCTTGTGTTACTTTTCAATGACACTTATTTTACATAAGGTTTCATCATATTTCATTTGTTGTAACATCTTTTTTTTTAATCACCTTTGCTCAAAGAGCCAGCATTTATTACCCAAAAGAAGCTGAAATGAAAATGCATTACGGTTGTGTATTGCAGGAGCATGCATGTCTTCATCTGCTACAGCAATTATTGTGTTACTGTTAACACTGTTGGTGTTTTTGTTTTTCATTGTTAGTTTTTGACTTAAAAAAATATTAAAAAATGTACTTATATTTCATTATTTCAGCTTTGATGCTGGTGAGTCAGAGTTGGCAAATATACATTAAAAGATGAAAACTAAGCCATCAAGGTGAAAACAGTATGAACTTAAACTGATAATTGAAATGACTAAATGCTACAATGGTTAGTCTTATTTGTGAAGTCTTATTAAATACATTTACAATGACTGATCTTTGCTGAGCACTTTTTTTTATATTCTGTGGTTAAAGTGAAGTATCCATTACTGGTTTATGAGCTCATAGCTTTCTGTGGACTTGTGTTTACTGTCTAAACCAGAGGAAACCCATCTGGTGCGTACAAAAAGTCTTTCGAGGAAAGAGCTGTGTGTGTACGTGTGTGTGTGCACGTGTGTGTGTAAATCCAGCAGGGGAAGGGCATGAAAGTATGAGAAAGTGTTAGAGAAAGAATCCATGTAAAAGAGTAGAAAAAGTGTGTGTCAGTGGGTTTAAGATATTTTTGTACATGTGCAAAGGAGGAAACAGGAGTGTGTGTGTGTGTGTGTGTGTGTGTGTGTCTGTGTGTGTGTGTGTGTAGACGGTCACATAATGGCGAATTGTCGTCCTTTAGGGACAAAAAGCGAGTCCCCATAACATCAATCAATATATCGCTGTAGGTTAACGTTAGTTTAGGTTAAATTTAGGTTGTGGTGAAGACAAGCTTTGGGTTAGGCAAGTAGTAACTATGATTAAGGTCAGACTCAGTCTCCAAAGTCAGTGTAATGTCTTGTGAAGTCACAGGGACACAACTGTGTGTGTGTGTGTGTGTGTGTGTGTGTGTGTGTGTGTGTGTGTGTGTGTGTCATACACTGTTGTTTACGCTGAGTCGACTGTTTGATCGCCTTGATGAAACACACACACACACACACACGGCCAGATACACTCTCCCGTCTGCTCTGGTGAAATGTCCTCCTCTCTGCCTCTGATTCAGATTTTTTCACCAAAAAAGGAAATGGAAAACTCATAGCTGCACGAGGGAGGGAGGGAGGGAGGGAGGGAGGGGGGGGGGTTGACTAGCGGTGGAAGTGGGAGAGAGAAGAGTGTGGGAGAAAGAGAGAGAGAGGGAGGATGTTCGCATCTGGAGTTGCTCCATGGCACTTTCACTGGGGATGGTGGGGGTGGGTGGGGAGGTCAGCTCGTCACTCGGCCTCCCTGTGGATTTATCGTGAGGAGAAGACTGGAGGTGACAGCTCGCAGGACGAGTCAGAGGGAGGTGCTCCGTGGATCTCATGCTACACACACACACACACTCATCAAGATAAACTGACAGCTGCTACCAGTGTAAGGGGGGGGTTGTGCTGTTTGGTGATATAAATGTTATAGCTGCCTATTTGTCAAGACTCACTCTCTTCCTGTAAGAAAACAAACAGTGGGACCAAAATTCAGAGTCTGAACATGACGAGTAGACGAAGCCAGAGTTGTTCAGTCATGTGAGGCCGTCTGCCAGTCGTGTCATTTATAATTTCACCAAAGAGAAACCTGGGTTTCACACTAAACACAGCCCAGTATATTTTATAACTGTGCTGCACTGTTGAACTTTTGTCTGTTGAAAGATTTCTCTTCGACTTTGCTGAAGGACACTCATAATAACACGGGTTCGTTTTCATTACTCATAAACTACAGGACGGATTACCACCAAACTTGGTGGAAGGATGTGGTGTGAATCAGGAAAGAAGCCTTCAAATTTTGGCGTGGGTCTGGATCAGGGGGTGGATCCAAAAACATTTATTCACTTTCTTTAACATTGTAAGATTGGGAGCTTTTCTTTGATGATTTAGTTGATTTTTTTAGAGAATAATTCCTGGATCTTGAATAAAAATCATGCATGTTAAGGGGACTGATATTTCTGAGTGTGTGGAATTTGGTGCAAATTCAAATGAAAATCTGGATTTAGTTCATCTAAATCTGGTTTTGGACCTTGGCGGAAGTTTGCATTAAATCAAAACATTGTTCCTACAGACATGTCACAGTATTTTTGGTTTAAGTCAAGTCACATGATTCCTTTTGAGGCGAGTTGTGATGTATTTGAGTTCTCTGTGCTGGAAAAGAGAACAATTAATTCAAAGCTGTTACTATATTAGCAAATACATCTATTTTTCTTCGAATATTAGATTACAAACAAATATTAACTACAATCCTGCATCACATTGTACAGGAAATGAGATTTGCAGTTGAGTGATGAACAGAACAGCCTAGAGTGGCTCCATCGTTTGTCTTTTCTTTGTCGCTCCCAGATCTCTGTTCTCACCCCGACAGGAGCAAATCTCAAGTTATCACAGTTTCAGGTAAAATTCATCCTCAGACACTAAAACATGAGCTGTGATAAAAACGATCTTTAATTCTACGAAGGGCCAGTCAGTTCAACAGGCTTTTTTTGTGTGGAAATAGTTTCATTATAAAAAAAGGCTGTGTATGGATCTATCGATGTCCATTGACTCCATAGGCTCCCATTGGAAGAGCTTAGATATGAGCTCCTGTCATGATTAACCAGATTGTCATTCATTTTAGAGGCTTTAAAGTCTAAACATTTTAGCCTGAAATTACACTAAAACTGTCCTATTACGAAACACTAATCAGATTCCTTTTCCATTTGCGTGAAACTGTGTGGACTCTTATTCAACCTGATGTCTGAAACGATATGACAAAATGAGATGTGTTTAATTCATGTCATGCAATTTCTGATTGAATTTAATGATTAATACAAACTAAAGCCATGTGTATCTGCTCAGATTTACTAGATAGACGGCAATTAGATACAGCAGCTCAGCCGCCGGAGAGCAAGTTCTATTTGTCGCACAGATACGCTGGTGACATGTCCAGGGTGTCCTCCGCCTCTCGCCCAATATCAGCAGGGAGTGACCTCCTGCGACCCTCAAAGTGGAAGAGAAAATGGATGGATGGAAGTTTTGCGACCTTAGAAGACTTCAGTCATAGTTTTGTTGCATGACAAACAGACCAGAGACCAAATTAACCACAATAAGTCACAGCACCCATGTGGATGTATCAGGTTGTATAACCAACTTACAAAAAAAGCCTTGTGTTTTATACATTCTGTGGAACCATGTGTCACAGAATATACATCGAATCTAATTCTTTTTGTAAAACCCATATTCACAAATCACAATTTGCCTCATAGGGTTCCACAATCTGTACAATGTGCAACATCCTCCGTCGTAAACCATCGACTACAGGAAGAAAAACTACGAAACAATTACTTCAACAGAAATCTCAGTGAGGGATCACTCTGCCAGGACAGACAGAGGAGCAGTACACACATTCAATCCTGGGAACCTGAGAAGAGCGGCCTTTCAAACGAGTAGGAGGCAGATTTAGAAAAAAAGTGTCCATGTGTCAAACTTGTTTATTTGATGAAAAAAGTGGTCCAACGTTACACGAGTAACAAAAATATGAACAAATCAAAGAAACAAAATAACAGTTAAAGAACTAAACCTCATCTCTGAAACTGTTTACAAAGCTCCTTCCATCAGCAGGAGCCAATTACACCATCCTGTCTATAGCCACGCCTCTCCTAGACACAGGCAGATCAAAGTTGTTTTAATCTTAATGTTATTTTAATGAACCTTTATTTAAACTCAAAGTTATCTATTAGAACCAACTTTTAAAATTTCTGTGCTGGGCCTTGTCCCCAAACGTACATTTAGCAGCTTGATTGAAACCCAATACACGTGTTGAAGCAAATTCTAATTTAAAAACCTGCTGCACCCCCCCCTCCCCCTCACACATGGTTCCTCCCAGTGACATCACTGCTGATGTCACCAAAGGTAGAACTACAGGACGTGTTGGGCCACTTCCTCCTTAGGTCCCTGCAGCACATGGTGGGAAAGGTGAGTACCAAAGAAACTGGGATTAACTAAAAACCAATAAACACAAACTCTGCTTAACTCTACTCATCTGTTTTTATTTAATCATGATGGTTTGTGGATGCAGGATTTTGTTGCACGTTCTGTATCGTGAGGAGAACGGTTGTTTGCCTTGGCCAAGATGTTTTTTGTCTTTATTTGTCAAATGCAAGTTAACACGGGGTCAACAAGAAGGGTTCAGGTCAGCTCAGCAATGCAATAAAAGATTTCAACCAGTTTAGTCTAAAGAAATTTAGACTAAACTATAAAGTATATACTTTACACTTAAAATGATGCAATTGTAAAATCAAAGTATGCATGTAAGTGCTTAATTTAATTTCTCTTTAATCTCATTTCTCATGCATTGATCTTTATTTTCATCCTCATGCAACTTATTTCTTCTATGTAAACTTGTTGTTGGTTCAGACTTTTGATCCAGAGTTGATCAATGTAACGTTTGTCTTTGAATCACCTGAACTGTGATTTTTCCACTGATGAAGATGTGACCAAGAACTACAACTGAGTTAATGAATGAGATAATGAATGAATGAATGAACCATGCTCCTGTTTTTACTTTAGCCAAAGATGCAGGCAGATATAATGAGATCAAGCTCGCCCCTCGTGTTAGAGCAGCTTGAAGTCATGTCCTGTATGATGTCTAGACAAGCTCGGCACAGCGTGAGTCAGATGTTCATGTAGTAAATACACTCATCGGCTTCATTTATCAGCAGTTCACTGTGTAAATACGTGTTAATGTTAGAACCGCTGATTCACAGGATCATTTTTAGTCCCACTGACTGGAACAATGGAAACAGACACACCTGGTTGGAACAATAACGTGTTGACTAATGACTGATGAACAAACCTGTGCTGAGTGATGTGCTGTATTAAGACTCAGGTGTGCCTCTGTGTGTATTTCATGCTGCTTGATGTCACTCACACAAAGTGCTTCTGTTTAGTTTTTAGTTGCTCTTGATTTGATTTTGAACAAGTGTCAGGATTCTGCCCCGTTTAAGAGGCTTTTGACTTTTATGGTCCATACGTGTATTTGATATAAGAGAAAGTTTGCTAATCGTTCTAATCTCTGTGTCATTCCAATTACTGAGTGTGACAGGAAGTGTGTGAGTCCTCAAACTTAATCATCAGCAGTGACACAACGAAGCATAATAATAACTTGATTCGTAGAGTACACAGTAACAAAGTGCTTTACGACAAACAATATGAAATTCTCAAACAATCGGATGAACAAAAACCTGACAAATAGCTGTTGAGGGTCTCAACTTACACACCAGACTCAACACTGGCTTTCTGTTTTCTGTCAGTCGTTGGTTCATTTATGTTGGAATCATACTTGTGGTCATTGTGTGCAGGGATCACCTTCGACACCACAGTCAAACCTTGTCCGAAGAGGCAAGAACCAAGATTTTATTAAATGACTGATGTTAATTAGTCAGAAACAAACATATTTTGTCTTGTCTGTAGTTTGAGAGAAAAAAATAGAGACATGCTACAAGTTTTGACAGTAAAATTGCTTCTGGTTATTTTCCACAGTGGAACATGAAGCTGCCACAGAAAGAAAAATACCGTCAGCCATACATTGCCATGGTTTTTCATCAAGCTCCCCCCGGCCCGTGTCATTACTGCGTTTAGTGTCCATTTGACAAAGTGCACTGGTCCACCGCAGTCATGGCCGTAGTCTGTAACCTCAGCAGACATGGGTTAACCCCAAATGAGAAAATGAGAGATTACACTCACGTCGGTAATTCAGCTACGATCTGTGATTATTTCAAATTCAATTTCAAATTTTATTTGTCACGAAGACATCAGTTATACCCGGAACAACGTGTAGTGACGTGTGTTTACAGCTGGAGGATGGAGTGATGCCTAGTCAGTGATATTAAGTTACAAGATTCACAGTTTCACTTAAAATTTGAAATGTGTTTTCAGGAAATATGCTCAGAAAATGGTTACAAACATCAGCTGAAAGTATTTTGACATGTAACTCACTGTTCACTCACCTGTACAATTTCAGTTTCACACTTTATTCAATCATGAAATCACATACATCCATAGGGACACCTCTTTAAAAAATCTGAGCCCATCCTACAGATAATTGGCCTCCTGGTGGCGATGGAGAGTATTTTTTTGGGCTTCTGATGTAGACAGTTTTCTTTTCCTTCACTCACTCACAACATTTTTCTGCATATGAATTTGAACTGTTTACCTGCGGGCAACCAACTGCTGCTCAAACGTGATTGGTCAAACTAGAAACAAGAACCTCAAGGCTTCCAGCGCTTAAATCTTGTCCCTCATCTAGAGATTCTGCAAATTCAGCCAGAATCTGTTTAAAAGAGATTCATCTTTCAGTTGTTCCACCATTTTGGTCCAAAATAAATTCTTTGGATATTTTGCAATTGAAGTTGACACAGAAATTCACGGTCTGCCAAAGACAAATCCCCACGACTTTGGTGATCCTGAGTTTTCCTTTATCTTTCTCTTTTTTACTTCATTCACTTAAAACCACAAATACTACCTTAAGGTTGACATCAGATGTTTTAAAGTATAATTTCTTGGCAATCTATCCAGCAGTTGTTGACGGACAGATGTAACCATAGAGACAGATGAAGTTGTGAAGTTACTGTGACATTATTTGGCACAGTGGTGCAGTAGATAGACTGTCGCCTCACAGCTCAAGGGTTCTGGGTTTGAACTCGATGCCTGACTGAGGCCTTTCAGGGGGAGTTTGCATGTTTATCTCTGTGGGTTTTCTCCAGGTACTCTGGCTTTGTCCATCAGTCCAAAGACTTGGACCTCGGGTTCATTGGAGACTCTAAATTGACCGTAGACGTTGTTTGTCTTTGTATGTCGGCCCTGTGACACCCTTGCACAGTCCATCATGTTCCCAGCCTCTCGCACACTGTCAGCTGGGTTTGCCTCCAGCCCCTCATCCAGTGTCCGTGGTGTTTCTTTCAGCAGTAATAGATAAACAAGACCAGCCTCTCATGCACATTCTTGTCTAAATTAGTTTGGTACTTTTGGGTGAAGCACTACGTCAGAACACAGGACTTGTAGATTCCTTGAGGATTAAGGACAGAGGATGTGGCACCTTGTTAAACCCTATGACACAAACTGATTTGTGAATATGGACTATAGACAACATGCATCTGTGTCCCAAGCTGACACTCCCAGTGGAGCTGGTGCTTGTTGGCGTGGTTTGGCGTCGGCTCCTGTGGCCTGGCCCGAGCTCTCATCCTCTCCACTCACTCCAGTCTGAGGTCATGAGTTGCGCTCGCTTGTGGGAAGCTCTTGTACTGTCTTGTAATGAGTCGTCTCAGCAGGAAAACAAGGCCTTGTTTTTCCACAGTTCGGGGTTGGATGCTTCCAACCTTCAGTTTTGACCTCCGCTAAAATCCCTCCTTTCTTAAGAATGATTGTAAGTGTGGCTCTGACACTTGGGCTTCCATAATGTGCCTTCAGTGTAAAAACAAGCAGAGGACGGACCACTCGACACCATAATGAGCAGTGGATGTTCTATATATAATCAGCTCGTGTGTGCTGCACTTGTGCTTCACACCCAAACTGCAATTTCTCACATTCTACAATACAAAATGTCTTTTTCCACCAACTGTTTGTTTGTTCTGCTGCTATTTATTATTTATTACCGCCTAGCACACTGTAAGTGTTTGATGTGGTGTTGGAACAGAATCAGTTTGTTGATGTGGGAGTGTAAGAATGTGATAAATTCTTTATTCATCCTCAGGACACACGGGAGGACATTACTCGCTATTCTCAGAAACTACAACGACTGTGGTTTTAAGCCTCTACCTCTCTTGGTATTCTGTGAAAACCATAAAGAATATAACGCTTTAGAGTTTGTAGGAAAAGGGAAACGCTGCCTCCTTGCATGTGAAGAAGAGTATTTTGTATCAGCTCAGTATTTTCTTGGCCAACATAATTTTTCTTGCTTTTTTGTGAGACAGAGCTTTTCCCTGAGTTCACATGAGCTCCTCATGACAACTGTTTAGATTATTAAAGACATGACACAACATAGTGAGCCTTTATGTTTTTGTGACGTATTCTTTGCCCTTTATTTGAGTTCAGTGGTTCAAACATCTGAAGAGTGAACTTGTCGGTCGATGTAAAGAAGTTGTCATTTTTAAACTGCATCAAGTATCTGCATCAATAAGTTACTGGAATTCAGATGGCAATTGAGCATGGTTCATTATTCATTGATTGTCCTGCAGTGGATGTAATAAAGTACATTACTTAGTTACTGTACTTCAGCGCATTTTTTTACAAACCATTGTATTACATGTTCACATTGTTTTCATATTCATATACTTTTACCTAAATAGAAACATCTGCTAGTTTTACTGTGTACATTTTTGTCTATTTATACTCAGTTAAGATGTTTTAGTACTTCCAGTGAACGTTGGAAAAGTTACAATCAGAGAAACCGTGAGGAGGATGACAGACAGATCAAATGAGCCGGTGCTGTTGACACAGGAAGAGAATTAAAGATAAACTTTGTCGAACATTTTATTTATTATTTAGAAGACGTCTGATTAATGTTGGTTCACTTTGCATTGCTTTCCATCTCGGAGGAGTCGGGTATAAATCCTGATACAGTACAGTTCTACTGTTGGCTGCTGCTCTATTGGACCAGTTGTTTGAAGATGAGAGGTTTGGAATTCAAAATGTTTGAGGAGTGGATTGACCAAGATGGACTGTAATTCAAAACATCTAAAAGATTTAGTGATGGGGGCGAGGAAGGTAAAGGAGTGATATGATTCATGTCTCAGGTTAAAAAAGAAATGATATGAAGGAATGAGAGAAATGTGAGAACATAAATCTTTGATATCTAGAGATGATGGAAGGCTTTATCCAAACAGCTGATGAGACATCAAGTGATCGTTTCATCAAGTTATAAATGCTGGTGTGTTAAATGTTTGACCCTAGATTAAATAATATAATATGTTTCTGCA